GCCATCCTTCCAAGCTCGTTCCAAGTGAGCTTCATCTCTCTCATGTCCCTTTCCACGCATCTCCTCCATGTTTCCTGTGGCCTACCCCTGCCTCGTGCTCCCTGTGGGTTCCACTGCAGTGACTGTCTTGTTGTGTTTCCGCTGGGCTTTCTTCCTAATGACCATTCTTGTGTCGATGTGCTTCTCTTTACTCCAACAAACCATTGGTAGGTCCTACTTCTTTACTTTCCCTCTGTTGTTTCTGGTTATCAGACACAGAGACTGAGGCTTAAATAGAAACAGAGACAGAGACAGACAGAGGCAGCGACAGAGACAGCGACAGAGACAGGGACAGGGACAGAGACAGGGGCAGAGACAGAGACAGCGACAGAGACAGCGACAGAGACAGAGACAGAGACAGAGACAGAGACAGGCAGAGACAGAGACAGACAGAGACAGGGACAGAGACAGATACAGGGACAGATACAGGGACAGTGACAGAGACAGAGACAGGGACAGAGACAGAGACAGAGACAGACAGAGACAGAAAGACCGAGCCAAACAATAATGTAGACTTAGAAACAGAGACAAAAAGAGAAAATCACATCCGGCTAAATAGAACACTTGTCTTTCTCAACTTTTCTTACCATTTTGAGAGAGAGAGAGAGAGAGAGAGAGAGACAGAGAGAGAGAGAGAGAGAGAGAGAGAGAGAGAGAGAGAGAGAGAGAGAGAGAGAGAGAGAGAGATGATGTAGCCTCTTGTAAACAGAAATGGCACCAAATTATTTCAATAATCAATATTTATAAAAGGGATTCAATAACTAGGCAAATAGGCTTACTTATGTGGGAACAATATGTACTTCAAGAAGAGTGGCTTGAGTTCGTGGAATTGGAATACATGCCTGAGTGTTCACAGATCATTATAGCAATGTCTCAATTCGAAGTAAGATTCAAAATATTACTTTTCTCTAGACAATATACACAAATCCAAGTTTACGTTACGTTTCACTTGTAGAGGCAGTGGTTCTCTGTACGTTCTACACTGTACTCTGCAAATCTGGCATGAATTGCTCCGCTAATGATGTATGACTGGGTACACTTTTCATGATGCTTAATGAATAATTGAAACTTCATCTCTAATCTCTTGAATACATTATCATTTGAACATAACATCTTCAAATTCTGTCACAAACATGTGATTAATAACTAAATGAATATCAGTTACAAAGAGAATTTTATACACAGAAATTCCAACCACACATTTTGTGAGATGACGACAGCTAACTCACATAAGCTTACATTGCTACAAACACATCTACAGTTTTAAATATGAAAAGCTTTGCTCACAACACTGAAGCAAAAATGGCCATGCAATGAAATATACTGAACATGAAAAACATCACTTGCAACACAAATAATATGTCATATTGGTGCCAAAGATTAGAGGTGTTACTAGAAAGTAACATACAAAGAAAAGAGAGAGGAGAGATAAGGACCATAGATGTTTGATAGGAAAAATGAGAAAACCACACCAGAGCACCCATCAAGCCCTCGCATGAAGGAATCTATTCACAAAATAATAATAATATAGAAAACAGAGATTTGAGTTCACAAACAAGTCGAACGACGAATACTCTGCACTCTAACAGACCATTTGTCTATTTCTCAAGAGGTGAACATGTCAGACCCCAAAGATTTTTGCCTAATATTATAATTATAATGACACTAATTTACAACACTGTCAAAGTAATGCAAATTTTAGTTCCAAACATGAAAAAACAAGCTCTATACAAAGTATACAACAACCTTTTAAAAGGCTTGAACTATGGTTGTATGGTGCTGACACAGAACAGACATTTAATTTTGACAGACATACAGACGGATGGACGGACGGACGGACGGATGGATGGATGGATTGATGGAGCAGTGTACAAATGGCATAGTTCCTCATAAACAAAGACACATGAAAAAGAAGCAGAGTTCCTCTCAAATAAGACTAGGCCAAGCCATAATATTATTATAATTAATATGGATGGCGGACGAGGGGGCGCAGGGCGAGGAAGGGAGAGGGGGGTGGGTGACGCAATGATCTCGAAAACCCGAGTTAGGGAGAGAGAGAGTTCTGTCCAGGATTCACAACAGCTAGCCTACGCTAGCGCCGGTCTGATGGGCGACTAAGCTCCCCGTGAGCCTGAAACAATGGCCAAATGAAATATTTAACACCCACGCGATCGAAAGGCCTGCAGATGATGTTGCAGTCTTTTGGTATTCAGTTGGGAACATTTTGAATAACCAACTGTGCACACACACACACATACACACACGCACACACACGTACACACACACACACACGCGCGCGCGCGCGCGCGCAGGCACGCGCTCACACACACACAACACACACACACACACAAACACACACACACACAAACACATACTCAAACCGAATGTACGCATTCAGCATTCAGATACGCACAGAAGTATACAAAACAAGCACATTATGCCGCTGCCCTCCCGTTTTCATCCGTTTCTTAATACGCCAAGGTAGATTTGAGCCACCGTTAGGAAAAAATTGCACGAGCTATGAAGACAAAGCCACAAAGAAAAACACACACAAAAAACATACAGTAACATAACAAAAGCCGTCTGTAAAACGGATCTGGATAAACCATTGTACGGGAGGGAAATAAAGCAAACTATTATCTATTGTGTGAACGCATCGAATACCATCAGGGCCTCGCCTGTCCACAGTTTTATGGTATTCAGAGACCACATCAGTCAGATAAAAACCTGCGCCACCATAGCAACCAAATTACTTTCTGATCCCATCCGTAGTACACTAGTACACTGCTTTCTATTTTTAATCTTTAGATTTAAATATTCAGC